ATCATTTTAACAGAGGAAAGGAAAAAGCCATATGATCCTGTCAGTAGTTGGAGAAAAAGTATTGGACTAAATTCTACAGCTGTTCATGATAAAAGCTATCAGGAAACTAGAAGTAGAACAGATCAAAGACATGTACTCCATACTTCCAGCAAAAACACCTAATATGAATGGAAAAGATAGAATGCTTTCTCCCTAAGGTGGGGAACAAGAGCGTATATGCCTACTCTTCATCTGTCCGTAAACTTTGAAACATAGGCCCAAACCAAAATAGTCTGGCAATAAAGCCTCTAGAACTTGTATTTGAATTTAGCAGGATTAGAAAATACAAGGTATATATAACAATTCAGGTCTATATATACTTGCTATAAATGAAGAGTTGGATATTGAAATGTGTAAGAATATGTAGGAATTATGTAGGAATACAAAGGACCTAGAAAAGTAAAAAGAAAAAGAAAAAAAAGTGTTGGAAGACATTTAGTACCCAATTTTAAGACTTCCTCTAAAGCTACAGTAATCAAGACAGTATTGGTGTAAGGAAAGACATACAAATCATTGGCATAAAACAGAGGATCTAGAAATCAAACCACACATATACGGTCCACTGAGTTTTGAAAGATTATTTAACATTAACATTTTATAGAACATAAACTCAATTCAAGAGCCGAGGTAAAGATAGTGTTTTCAGCAAATGGCACTAGAACACCTGGTATCCGTATGTAAACAATTAACCTCAACCCTTTATTTCCATACATAAAAATAACTTGAAGGGATCTATGAACCTAAATATAAAAGACTAAAACTATAAAACTTTAAGAAGAAATTATAAGGGAAAATATGTATGAATTTAGGGTAGGTAAGAATTTCCTAGGATATAAAAAACATGATGTATAAAAGAAAAAAATTGATAAATGAGATTCCATCCAAATTTAGAACTTTAAATGACATCATTAAGAAAATGAAAAGTAGTCTTTAAACAGACCATATTTATAATGCATATGACCTATGACCAGAATATGTAAAGAACTCTTACAGCTCATTAATAGACAACACAATTAAAAAGTAGACACAAGAAGATGATAAATAGCCAGTACAGCACAAGGAAGGGTGTGCAACACTAGAATCAGAAAAAATACTAATCAGTACAATATCAAGACTGACTTATATACTCATTAGGGAGATGAAGTTAAAATTTTAAAAGAACAAATGTCAGCTTAGTTGTCAACTAGTTAGAACTTTCTAATACTGCTAATGTGAATGTAAAATGATAAAACCATTTTGGAAAACAATATAGAAATTTCTTGTATTACTGTTAAGAACCAACCGTCCTGTTCTTAAGTTTTTACTTGAGAAGAATGAAAACATATGTTCATAATAGATTTGTACATACAAGTTCAGTATCCCTTATCTGAAATTCTTGGGACCAGAGTATTTCAGATTTTCATTTGAAATCCACTTGATCTGCAAAGAGGATAGCTACTCCTGCTTTTTGGGGGGTTCCTGTTGCATGGAGAATTGTTTTCCACCCTTTAACTTTCAGTCTATGAGTTTCCTTTTGAATTAAGTGTGTTTCTTGTATGCGGCATATTGTTGGACCTTGCTTCTTGACCCATTCTCCCAGTCTATTTCTTTTGATTGGTGAATTGAGAACATTAACATTGATGGTTATAACTCATAAATATTGACTTATCATTGTCATGACTTTTTCTGTTTGTTGGATTCTCCCCCTTTGCATTTAATTTCTTGTCGCACCGGACAGATTCATTCTGCTGGGCTTCCTGTGGTTGTGATTCTCATTGCCTTTTCCTAGGACATTGTCTAAAATGTTTTGCATGCTGTTTTGGTATTCATGAAGTTCCTAAACATTTGTCACAAAGGTATCTTATTTCTCCACCAATTTTGAAAGATAACTCTGCAGGGTACATCAATCTGGGTTGGAGGCTATTTTCTTTTAGGGCTTGAAATACATCACTCCAAGCTCTTCTTGCCTTGAGGGTTTGTGCTGAGAAGTCTGCTGTGATTTTGATGGGCTTTCCTTTGTATGTGATTTGTTTCTTTTCTCTAACTGCTTGTAGAACTTTGTTCTTCTGTTAGGTTTCTGGAATTCTAACAATTATATGCCTATGTGTAGATTTTTTTTGATCAAGGCTCATTGGAGTCATATATGCCTCACTTCTCTGTATGTCAAGTTCTTTTCCCCTCCTTGGGAAGTTTTCTGCCATCACTTCTGTGAACAGTTTTTTTAGATCATCTGCATTCTCTCCTGTTTCTTCATTGACTCCAATCAGTCTTATGTTACTCTTCTTTGCCTTGTCTAGCAGCTGCTGGATTGATTTCTCGTGGTCCCTTACAATTTTAAAGCAATGTTTCTTTTTCTGGTCACTAAATTCAATCTTATCTTCTATATCTGAAATTCTGTCCTCACATTGGCTCATTCTGCTGCATAGACTTTTAATGGAGTTTTTTAATCTGGAAATCTGTTTGTATCTGTTTTATGGATTCCATTTGTTTCCTCTCTTGGGATTCTATCATGTTCCTGAGCTCCTCTCTAGATTTATTAATCAGTTCTTGCGTGATAATAACTATGAGCACAATCTCTGCTGTTATCTGAGAAATTATTTCTGATTTCTTTTTTTCCAGATCTTTTGTTGCCCGTTCGGGAGTCCAGATGGTTGAGTATCTGAGTGTTCCATCTCATTTCCCTTTGGGGTTGCTGTAGGTGATCTGGAAGGCTGGTTTTGAGACTTGTTTATGTGTCTTCTCATTTTGATGGGGAGTTGGGGGATGGGTGGAGAGGATGATGCTGGCACCCACGGGGCTGACCTCCTCTGTGCTGGTGGGGGTGGTACTGCAGTCTGGAAGCCTCCTCTTCTGTGCTGGGAGTGGCTTACCTCCTCTGTGCTGGTGGGGGTTGAAAGTGAGTTGGATTATAAAGAGCAGATATGTTAAGTCCTGGTCAGTTTTGGAGTGAGGGTTGAAAGTGAATTGGATTATAAAGAGCAGATATGTCAAGTCCTGGTCAGTTTTGGAATGATGTCTTCCAAACATGGATGGCTTTTGGAGAAATAGCTTAGCGTCATAGAAAAAGAATTAGAGCATGTCATTAGTCTTGAAAGTTTTTGTGTGTGTGTCCGGGGATCGAACTTGGGTCCTTGTGCTTGTGCAGCAGGTGGTGAATTAGTCTTGAATTTTAATTTGAGTTCCTTAATTATTAATAGAGCTAATACATATATAACTTCTTGAACAGTGCTGGGTACACAGAAAGCATCAATAATTTCTGCTTTCATCTCAGGGTAGTACTATACCAGTTTTTCATTTATTCTTGCCTTTATCCAACAAATATTTAGTGAGAACCTACTAGCTTCCAATTTTCATGCTAGATATTGTGTGTATGGAGTAAACTAGATAAGCTGGGCCTTTCTCATTGTGAAGGTAAGGTTGTAGTGGATGGAAGATCTACTATTTTGGGTCTTAATGTCTTTGTAAAATAAAAAATGAAAGTGTAAAATATAAATAAAATTCAGCTTTAAAATTTTAGAACAGATTCTGCCTATAACACTCTTTAATTGATTGACTATATCCTGATATTTTATTCAACCTGCCGTATGTACGCACTGTGCTAGGTTCTGGGCATATTATAGTAACCACAGGTAATACCTGCCCTTGTGGCATTAAGTGCAATCCATGCAGCACACACATTGAGTAGGTAATTGGGAATATGATTAGTTTTACAAAGGACAAAACACTAAGTTTGTGTTATTGATTTGTGTAACATAATAAAAATGTCTGTTATTTTTGATAGAAGGGGCACTATGAAGAATTTATCCAGTTAACTTTTCCTCCTAGTTTGTGTATTTATGCTTTTTTGCCTGGCTATTCAGGAGCAGTTGGACATCATGGAGACAACTTGGCAGAGAAGATCATTTCAGTGCTTCCTCAGCTTCCAGGTCACACAAATGACGTGATGGTTAACATGGAAGAGCTCACTGCACTCCAGACACAGGAGGAGGACCAGAATGTAATTGCACCAGGTTGTCTTGCACAAGCCAAGTAAGATATGTAGTTTTTTCCTCTCATCTTTCTCTCTCGTCTCTCTCCTTTATATTCTATAGTTAGTAATCCTGTAGAAAAGAAACAATAAAGAGTTTGTCTAGTTGAAAAACTCATAATGGGTAACATTTAAAAGAAAGTATTTTTAACTTATCAGGAACCATATCCATTAAACACAACAATACACCAGAATATCCTTATTTACTTTTTGTAGGACTGTCATTTAGATGTAATATAAATTTGTTTCCTGGACCAGTTCCTTGAGTCAGTTTATGTATGTCCATTTCACAGATAGTTTCCCATGGAAGAAGTCAAGGCTTCCTTAGTTTCCTTTTCTCCCCTGACTCTCATATGACTAAAAAGTAGCCCAATGAGGACTGGGGATTTAGCTCAGTGGTTTTGCCGCCTGCCTCACAAGCACAAGTTCGATCCCCGGTACCAAAAAAAAAAAAAAAAGTAGCCCAATGAGGTAGTGTTATTATTTTTACACTCCACAGGTAAGGAAAATGAGCCAAAGATACATTAACACAGAGTTGGAATTAGAAATGAGCCCAGGATGTTTGCCATCAGAGCCACTGTGTTACTTTCTATGTTATCTATGTAGGGTAGGCTTTTGAAGATTTAAGGACACAATGAAAGACAAAAATAAAATTACTTTGTGATTTAATTTAGGGAATCTTATTTGTTCAAGAGAGTTACAGAAGTCAATTTTTGCATTTTTTTTAAGAAAAGGGAATTTGTTAAAGGGTATTGGGTAGTTAATAGAAGCAAAGGGAGAATTCTTAATCAGATTTTGGAAAGGACAAAAGAGTTCCAAGAATCTAGGGAATAGGAACTCAGGAAATACCTCTTTAAGACTTTGACAGTAGGAAGACCAGATTTTACCTGTTTTCTGTCTGAGTCATTCTGTGTAATTTTCAGATTCTAGGGGATGGTAAGATTCATCTATCTTGGCCTTTGTGTCCACATTTTTCCTAGTTGGAGTTGGGAACTGTTCATACTAAGAATTGTGCCAAGATCATATAGCATGCCAGACGGGTAGTTCTTTGGAGGAAAAGTTGGGCACTTATTAAAAGAAGAGGAAAGGGATTCTGGAGAGGCAAAAATAATAGATGTCCCTTATTAATAATAGTACACACTTACAGGGGACTTATTACATAACAGACACTGTTATGAGCACTTAATATACATTAGCTTACTTATTTCTCACAAAACTATGAAGTAGATCTTGTTGTCATCCTTTCTTATAGATGAGTAAGGAAATTAAATAACATGCCTAATATGACACATACAGTTGGAAGTGGCAAGGCCTACATTTGAACCAAAGCAGTCTGGGTCTAAAGTCAGTGCTTACCATTAACCTGTCCCCTTATGTAGAATCCTAAGAAAATTAGAAGAAAAAAGAAGTAAGCTACCCAGAGAAGTTTGCAAAAAGAGCAGTAGAATCCATTATTAGACAGCAATCTTAGAATTATAGTAGGACAAATATAAGAATAAATTTATCTGTAAGATCTACATCTAATGTTTTGCTTATGTTCAATTTGTTTAACCTTGATTGTCCAGCACTCATTCCACCTCAAGCTTAGTTTCAGGCTTCATCCAGATCAGTCTTGAAATCCCATTTTCTTTGCCAATTTTTCCTTTAGAAATGGGCAAGTCCTAGAAGAGGGCAAATCTTAAGGCTTCTTGGTCTGGCTATGTTCATTTAGATGTATTTTCTCCTCCCCATCTTTGTTTTCATTAATGTCCTTTACTTCTCATTAGATTACAAATGAGTGTTACCATAAAAAATGAGCTTTGGTATTCAAAAAGGAGAGTTTGTTCATAAATGTCAAAAATGAGTTCTAGAAGGATCTAGATAAAGAAGAAAGCTTCAGTCAGAACAGGTTTGGCGAAATAGATTGGAAGTGAAGTTGTATAAGATACAGAGATAGATGATGAGAAAATTATAAGCAAAAAAGATGTAAAACCAGTAGCTGGGTGAGAAATGGTAATTTTTCAATTGCTTTGAAAACTGAGGGAATTTCATTGATTAATTTCTCAGCAAAGGAGGAATTGAAATAAATCACAGCTTTCCCAGCATATTCTTTATGTCTGTCAAAATAACAATAATTACTACACCTTTGACAGTTTTCCAGAAACTTCTCAATGAAACAAAAGTGAGAATACAAAGCAGTATTAAAATGCAAAACAGATGGGTGCTTGGAAACAAATGTGTCTATAATGGAATAATCCTTAAGGAGCAAGTTTTTAAGTATGTTATAAGCCTTCATAATACAAATTTATTGCTAATAAAGTTCTCATATTAGGCTGTTTTTAATTATGTCAATTGAAGTCAATGCCAATGAAAATGAGAAATAGAGAACTTAAATGTATTGTAACATCACTTTTGAATCCCTGTCCATCACTCCCTGGAATATGTGGAATATTTTTGGCAAGGAGGCAGAATCTTTTTTGTTCCTATGTTTTCCTCCTGTTAAAGTATTTTTTGGGGGGAAGTGGATACTGGAGATTGAACCCAGGGCCTCGTGCATGTTAAGCAAGTGCTCTAATGCTGAAGTTGTTCCCAAACCCTGAAGTAAATCTTTTTTCTCTGTCTCTGGCCCCTCTTTCTAGCCCATTAATCATTCAGTTCCATAAACAACTTTCACCTGATTTCCTACCTGCATTTATTATTTCTGTGCTTGGTGCCTGGCTCTGGCCTATCCACTCACCTGAGGTGCTACTGGTTCTGCTGGATCCAGTGCCCACTTCTCCCATTGCTCCCTGCATGCCACCCAGTGGGCCTTACAGTGCTATACATGACTGTGTGCCATCTTACATCTTGAGTCCTCGCTGACTGAATCTCTTACTCTTTTTTCTGTAATTGCTGCTATCCAGCCACACAAGCTCCCTTGCTATATCTTCAATAGCACAGGCAGGGTCCTCCCTCATGGATTTGGTTCTAGGTGTTCCTAGATTTTTTTTTTGTATTAAATTCTTTTATTGGTACATTGTAGCTATACAACACAATTACATTTCTCATTGGGAATTGTACCTTTACATAATGCATCT